ATCTGACATTAAGAATTGCTTCTGATGGGTAATCAAAGAGATCTCTGGTTCTGGCCTTCTGCAGAAGAGACCAACCTCTGGTCTCGGATTCAGAAGGAGTTGCTGTGTGTCCCCCACTCCGTGGAAGATTCATTCCTAGTTGCTCTCTGAGAAGAATGAGCAAGTTTACAGGGTGCCAAAATGGTACATTTAGTAGTCTGTCTCAGATAGCAATGACTTCCATCAGTCTAAGGGAAACCATGGGCTATGCTTCACTGGCCATTGCTGTTGGAAGGCAGCTGCGGACATGGCTTTGTTTGTGTCATTTCCAGTGGGATACAGGGGACAAGAAGGGGCTGCTACTGCAGTTCTCAAGCCAGACGACATATATAGGAACGCTCTCGTAATCTCATCCTCCGCTAAACTTTTTGACCCCGTTCACAGATGGAACACACCAATATATAAAGTCCTTGCTGAAAGGAAGAGCCTCCAGGTAGAATCACAGCAGTGCTGGGAACAGGCCATCTGGCTAATAGATCATCACAGTTCTGGATCCCTGCTGGATATTTTCTGGAAGGCCAAGTGCTCATGCTTTACTCAAATTCTAGGCAGTTTTGCACATACCTGCCAGGGCTGGGCTGGGTGTCTCCATGGTCGTCTGGGTGACCACATGGACACTGGAGTGATGTATATCTCTCTCTCCCCTTCATTTTTCTCTAATCTGCCTTTGCCCACACTGCTTTTGGGTGAGAAAATGCTGAGTCGCTTGAAACTGTAGCCAGCTCCCTCATGGGTCCTCAGGTACCCATCCCTCCTCTTATGTGCAGGAACCGGCATTTAGGCAAAGATGGCTGCCATGGCAATGGGATGTATACACCTCCCTAAAGGCTTTAGATGATGCCCCATGCAGAGGTGACTGGCTTGGCAGAGAGGCTGCACTGGGTGGAGGACAGAGCCTCCTCTCTCCCTGGGAGGTTTTGTTCTTCCAGGCAGTGTGCCAAGAGAGTAGGAAGATGTCCAACCAAGATCCAAGCTCAGCCTCCCTGTTCTGTGTTCTCATCTGCAAATAGCAGCGGTAACACCCATCACATCTACTGCTTCCTGGGTTTAATGAGACGGCCTATGCCAAGCTCTGACACCATCGCATCCATTCTCATTTCTCAGCTTGTTATGTGGGAAAGACTGAAACCTCAAAACATCGAAAAGAAAGGACGATAGATGCCCATTCATACAATAGATGCCCGTACATACAATATATTCCCATACATACAATAGATGCCCATACATACAATAGATGCCCGTATATACAATAGATTCGCGTACATACAATAGATACCATCATACAATAGATACCTGTACATACAATAGATGCCCGTACATACAATAGATGACCATATGTACAATAGACAAGATGCCCATATGTACAATAGATGCCCATATGTACAATAGATGCCCGTACATACAATAGATGCCCATACATACAATAGATGCCCATATGCTTGTTTTATCCATGCTTGGGTTGCCATCAAAGACCACCACAGACTGCCAATTTAAATGACAGACATGTTTTTCTCATAGTGCTGGCTGCTGAAAGTCCAGGGCAAGGTGCCGTAGGGCTGGCCTCTGGGGAGGCCTCTCTTCCTGGCTTGCAGAAGTCATCTGCTCACTGTGTCCTCATATGACCCTCCTCTGCATGTGCACCCCTGCTGTCTGTCTTTCTACATACGGACACCAGTCCTTCTGGATTAGGCACCCATCCCATGATCTCATTTAACTTTTCCTCCTAATCTCCAAAGAGTTATTCTGGAGTCTAGGGCTTCAACGCAGATTTGGGGAGACACGCGGATCAGTCTAGAACATGTATTTATAACTGGGGGGAGCTAGTGAGTAGTGTGTTTGTTGTGTGTGCACATGTATGTGTGTGCATATGCATGTGTGTATGTTCACCTGGATAAGTGTGGAGGGTAGATGTTGGCACTGAGAGTCTTTTTTCTATTGCTTTCCACTTCATTTCTTTTTATTTAATTTATTTTATTAAAATAATATAATTGAAGAACAATTAGATAACTATCTATCATATCAGATACAATAAAAACAAAATTAACACTCAAATCACTACAAAGCTTGTATGCCTGGCTTTCTTCCAGATGATAATGTGTATGGAGACCAGATAGGGCCCACCTTGTTTTGGGGGACCAGGTCTCTCATTGGACTTGGAATGGCTGTTTTGACTAGACTGGTCGGCCAGGAGCCCCTGAGATCTACATGATTCTCACCCCTCTTCCAGTGTTGGGGTTGAACCACAACACGTGGCTCTGTGTGGATGCTGGGGATCCAGACTCGGGTCCTTAGCAAACAAGCTCCCCACTGAGCCCCATCTCTGATCTCATCAAGTTTAATAGAAACACACTCCACTTCTCTTTCCATCCTAGGCTTCCTGCAAGTATGAAAACAAGAGTGGGAGATTTTTTTTGGTGGGTATGGAGACCAGAAACCACCCTCTGAATACAGTGGGTCTGTAGATGTGTGTATGTAACAGTTATCAACGGTTCTAGAAGCTTCCTTTGCTATTCTTGCCATAAAATATCTTAAAAGAAAATGACTTTTTAAAGTCCTAGATGGAGCTGGAGAGATAGCTCAGCAATCAAATATGCACACGGCTTTTGCAGAGGACCTGAATTTGGTTCCCTACACCCATGTCAGGCAGCTCACAACCACCTGCCGCTCCAGCTGAGAACATCCAGCAACTTCTTTCAGCCTCCACGAGCACTACATACATATACACCCCCACCCCCACACCTAATTAAAAAGAAAATAAAACATTGACAATAAAAATATAAAGCTTTAGAAAAATTGTATTTCTGTTAACTTTGACTTACGACATAACTTCTCTTGATACTAGAAAATATAGAGTCATGGCAAATACATAGAATCACAGCTATAGAAATAACAAAGCTCACATCCTACAGCACAGCACGGGAAACCAGGAAGGGGGTGACTGGACTACAGCAAGGGGAAGTTCACAAGCATGTTTTTACGGCTCTGTGTCAGTCATACTTGGGTTATAAAATTAAAAGGCAGCTGGGTGTAGTGGTGCGCACCTGCTATCCCAGTGTTTGGGAGGTGAAGGCAGGAAGATCAGAAATTTAATGTCAGCCTTAAGGTAGCAAGTTCCAACCCAGCTAGACTACCTGAGACCCTGCCTCAAAATCGTAAAAGTAAAATTTAAAAGTGCACTTAAATCAGTAGGGAACTGAGCAACATATTCAAATATAGTCTCAGTGGTCTGTGTTAGAAGAGCAGGAGGGTTGGTAAGTGCTCTAACTCTGAGCCAAGGTCCTCCCAGTTCTCTGTGTGTGTCAGGACAAACACAGGTATGAAGGGATTTCAGCTCTCGGGGGATATCTGCTGGCCAGTGGAGAAATTCCATGGAAACGACAAGTGACTTGGATTATCCTCTCACTGGACCGCCATACAGTGAAGCACCAGCTATCTTCAAGAATATATTTAAGGGGATGGTGGCGCACACCTTTAATCCCAGCACTCGGCAGGCAGAGGCAGGTGGATCTCTGTGAGTTCGAGACCAGCCTGGTCTACAAGGGCTAGTTCCAGGACAGGCACCAAAGCTACAGAGAAACCTGTCTTGAAAAACCAAGAAAAAAAAAAAAAGAATATATTTAAGGGGATGGTGACACACGCCTTTAATCCCAGCACTCGGGAGTCAGAGGCAGGCAGTTTTCTGAGTTCGAGGTCAGCCTGGTCTACAGAGTGAGTTCCAGGACAGCCAGAGCTACATATTAAGACCATGTCTCAAAAACCAAACAAACAAAAAGAATAGCCCTCAATTTCAAAATCACAGCTTTTCTAATTTATGCCCTTTCCCCAAATACAAAATGACCCAAGAAATACTTGAGACCATCTTGTAATTATCCAGAACTTGTTCACCCTGCCCTACCGTACTCTACATTTTGAGGGAGGTGATGGTTTGGATTTTGGTTTCTGAAGACAGGGTTGCTCTGTAGCTTTGGAGCCTGTCCTGGAACTAGCTCTTATAAACCAGGCTGGCCTCGAACTCACAAAGATCTGCCTGCTTCTGCCTCCTGAGTATTGGGATTAAAGGTGTGTGCCACCACTGCCCAGCCCTACTGTACATTTTTATTGATTGATTGATTCAAAGGCTCCCTGGGAAGTCGAGGAAAGTGTTTGCCTGTCAAGAATGAGGGCCTGAATTAAATTCCCAGGATCCACATTTTAAAAAGGCAGGATTATGGAGTATGCTTATAATCCACGTAAAAGGCTCCCAGAGAGAGACAGATCCCTGGGGCTCAGTGGCCAGCCAGCCTAGCCTGCTTAGCAAGCTCCAGGCCTGTGATATTCTGTCTCAAAAAAAAAAAATGAGACATTGGAGCTAGAGAGATGGGTCAGCAGATAGAAGTACTTGCTGATCGAGCATGAGGACCTGAGTTCAAACCCCCAAGCCCCCACAAAAGCCAGAGATGTAGTACACACATCTGTAAGTCCATGCTAGAAAGGAAGATGGAAAACAAAGACAAGAGATTCCTCCTGGTGTACACTACAGAAAAACTGTCAAAAGATTCTGGATCAACTCTCAAGGATGTTCTCTGGCCTCCACATGTGTGCACCTACAAACACACACACACACACACACACACACACACACACACACACACACTTTTCCTGGGTTGCCTGCATTCTTTATTATTTTCAATGAGTTTCCGTATTTCCCTGCTCACTACTGACCCGCACGGAAAGCCTCACGCCTGGATGTCTGAGACTTCCTGCATTGGCTTTTTGAAGAAGCAAGGGCATGGATAATGATTATGGGAGGAGGGATCTGGGGCTCCCAGTGGTGCTCCCCGCATGGGGGTCAGTATGTTTTTGGTGGAGGCTCCTGGTAACTTTCTATGGGAGTCAGGTTGGGGGTCATTCTGCCTGTATATGGCTCCGCTTTGGGTAACTGTGAGGACCAATGAGACAACTCATGTTTTCATTGTTGGCAGCACTGGGCTAGGAGGCTCCTGCTCTGCTTCTGAGAGTGCAGCCAGCCTGGATCCATGTAGTGTGTTCCCAGAGGTGACCGAGCCAGGGAAGCACCCCCAGGAATCCAGGGGGCCAGAAGGTTCTCCAGTGCCCAGCTCATCACTGCCCTGGGAACAGGCGTGTCCCTCAGCCCCCATGCCCTTCACCGAGTGTCCCCCAGAAGGTTGCTTGGCAAGCTCAGAAGCAGCACCTGAAGATGGTACCCTTACCCATCACCCTAGGAAGGAAGCTTCCTCTAGTCTCCAAGGGGACGCCTTAGCAACGCTTACTCCTAAAGGGGATGGCTCCACACAGCACAAGATGGCCACCACAACCCCCAGTGCTGCAGAAGACACAGAACCGAAGGGAGAGGGACCGAACTCATCCTCCAGAGGAACTGGCCAATTGCCAGGAATTTCCCTAGTGCCTCCCCGGGAGCCGAGGACAGAGCTGCTGTGTGGAGAGAGTGACTGGCCTGGTGGTTTTGAGTCCCAAGAGAAAGCGGATGTAGATGACTTCTCGACCCCAGCGTCTGCCACTAAGGCCCCTGCTGCCACTGGGCTGGGGACGGAGAGCTCAGATGTCCCAGAGGAGTCCCCCGCAAAACTTGAGACCATGTTCCCACAAGATCCAGTCCTAAGATCATCTGATAAAGAAAGAGGGGGAGAGGAGGTGCTGCCAATGTATTCAGTCAAGAACTTGGAGTCTCTTGGAGGCCACCATCCTTCTGAAAGCAACTTGGGGGCTGAGCCTGGAGTTGGAGCGATCACTGCCGAGCAGGAAAGCTGCCAGCAGAAGGTGGAAAAGCAGCTGCCACAGGCAGAACGGCCCTCAGACCCACTAGATTTTGCCACAGCTCCGGGAGATAGTGACCTCTGGAAGGAGACTCGAGGAGACACCAGAGATGTTCAAAGACAACCACAGACAGGGACATCAGGAACTGGGCCCCAGCAGGTTGTCTGTGTGGCATCAGGTAACCAGCCGGATGGTAGCTTGCTTGGGAGTGCTAAGGCCCCTCCATTTCCTAGAACAGAGGAAACACATACAGCCTCCAGTCCCGCTGCACAGCCTGCTGCTTGGAATTCTGTCACCGTAGACGAGCCCAGCTTGTCCAAGGAGACAGATTCTGAGGCTGAGATGCCACTTTCTACAGATCTGGCCACAGAACAGGTTGATACGGGGGTGGTGGAGCTGAAGCCAGCATCAGATCTGGGAAGAACACCAGAAGAACAACCGGAAGGCAGCCTCCGAGGGGCCCTTGCCCCTTTCTTGCAGGGGCAAAATGATACAGTCCTAGAAGAACTGTTGCTACCAACTTTCTCCCATGGGGCTTCAAATGAAAGTTCTAGAAAGTCAGTGGGATCAGGTGACAGTCCTAAGGCCCCCGAGGATACTGAAACCAGAGTTGTGGCTCGAGAAGAAAGCAGATCACCCAGAGACAACTCTAAGGGACAAGAAGCCATCAGTGTCCTTGATGGTGCGGAGTCTAGGAATCATGGGGAAGACAGGTCCCAAGCCTTTCACAGCGAGCTCCATCTGGAGTCTCACAAAGGTGAAGTTGCAAAGCCACATAGTGACTCTCCCAACTTAGACTCAACACAGCCACCCAGACAGGCGGTTGCTGGCCACAAGGATGGGCCCTTCTCTGGGTCAGCAGAGGCAGTGAGGCAGGTAGGTGATGAATCCCATATAACTGGCACACCCACCCCACTGCACAAACACCATGAGGAGGACCCCATCCTGTCCTCAGCATCGGCTGGAACTGCTGAGCCCTCTCCTCCCCAAGAAGCCACCTGGGCAAGTTCAGGATCTCAGACCAAAAGCCCCAGCATGCTTCAGGGCAGTGCAGGATTGGGAACAACACAGTCACTTCCCGCTTTAGACTCTGAGAAATCAGGTTTCCTGTCTATTCCAGCAGTGGAGGAGGAACCCAAAGCTGGGGAGGCGGAGAACATATTGGAAATAAAGAAGAGCCACTCACCCTTGCAGAGGCTGGAGAAGGTCGAACCTGGACAGGAAGTTCATACCAATGTGTTACCTCCCCTCAGTGGGAAGAACTCAGTAGTGGGACATGGACACACTATGCTTGGTTTGGAACTAGACTGTCAGGGAAAATTGTCCTGCCCAGAGGACAGCCTCTCACCACCTCCAGAGAACCCGCTCCAGCCATCTAAACTGGACTCAGAAGCATCTGTCTTAGCTGTTCTCTGTGAGAAGGCCCAGTCACCTACAAACATGCAAGGGGCTTGTCCAAGTGACCCAGGTCTGAAGAAGGAGGGTACAAATCCTTCCCCAATCCTATTACCCACGGAAGGGGAGCCTTGCATAGGTGCGAGCTTGCCCACTCATGAAGGAAAGGAGCAGGCTTCAGAACTTCCCCCCAAAGGCGGTCCTTGCAACACTCCAAGTTCAGCACTCAAGGATACAGATCTGGGAAAGGCACCATTAGAGGAATCAGAACCGCCAACCCCACTGGGACAGAAGCTGCCTGCATTAGGAGAAAATGAGCAAGGGGGCGTGGGCAGTGGCGGTCAGCCCTAGGAGAGCCTGCATCCCGCAGAAGACACTGCTCTTACAGGAAACTTGGGTGGAAAAGAGAGTTGCTGTATCGGGCAGGGGCCGAGCAAGTCCCAACAGGAGCTGGGTGATGCTTTGAAAGCAGGCAGCCAGCGTGAAGAAGCACGTTGTGGGGACTCAGGTATTTCTGAAGCAAGTGATGGACTGCCCCTGCCTCAAGGCTTGGGTAAGACAGAGGTGGCAAGTACAAACATAGTGGAGGCCCCGCCTTGTCAACCTGACTCAGTAGCTCTCCTGGATACAGCGCACTGTGCTCCGGTCCCAGTGCCTACCAGAGTCACGCCCACCCGGGATGCCCTAGAGAGTGAGGCCCGTGATGAGAGTCAGGAAGAGTTGGCCCCACAGCTGGAGATGGAGCAGCTGGCCACCTTCGGTGTAGAAGCACGGGGGCCTCTTGGCAGTTTCCCCAGAGGGGCAGAGCAAGATGGATCTGTGGAGGCGAATGTTGATGCCCGGGAAGGAGACCCTGGGATGCAGCAGGCTTCTGAGGGACCAAATGTGGCTCCGCACGGTGGCTTCTTTCAGACTGATCAGCACCTCACGTCTAGGAAAGAAGGTTACACCTCCACCCTGACTGAGCCGTGCCAACTTGAACAGCTTGAGCCCAGCTGTGGGGATTCCTCGGGGCCAGCTGGAGAATCAGATAGGATTCCCGGAAGTACAGTGGACATTCAGGCACACTGCGCTGTTTCAGATCCACAGAGGCTCCTGCCGGCTCGACCACCTGAAGAGACTGTGCCTGGCGTCCCTTACCTACACATCAATGGCACTGTGGGGGAGGATGCAGGAGATGGTAGCCTGAGACCCGTTTCCTCTGAAGGCCCCAGAGCACCTCATGAACATCCCTGTCCCACAAAGGAGTTCCCACCTGCTTTGGAAAATGACACTCCTGGAAAGGTATCAGCTGTCTCCTTCACCACACTCTTGCAACCAGGAACTGCAGGTGGGGAAATCTCTGCAGCCGGGGCTGGTAGTGGTGGCCCTCAAGCTGGAACTACTGAGAGACCGGTGAGTCTCATGCCCTACCTGGACAGGATGACATCCCTGGCCAAAGATGAGCAGACGACAAGAGAGCTGCATGTGACTACAGCTCCAGAAGCAAATGCCAGGCCCTCTGAGGTTGCAGCACCCGCTGCCAGTGAGGATGCAGCAGGAGAGACAGGTGGTCACAGGGAGAGCGCAGTAGAACTTACCCCAGATCTCAGGGTTGGTGCATCGGGTAGCGAGGGTGCGAGCTCCAAACAGACCAGCATAATTACGGGTCTTCCTGACTTCAGAGAACACATCACCAAGATCTTTGAGCAGTCTGTGCTCGGAGCCCTGGCTGCCGACCGGCCCCAGAGTTTACCTGGTGAAAAGGCAGGAGCATCAAAGAATTTTCTGGTTGAGGGACCCAGCATATCACCGAACCCGGAGAAGCTTCTAGATGGGGCTCAAAGAGTGGCTGCTGCCCATCTCCCTGTACCTCCTGCTGGACTCCAGGTGGAGAAGAAGCAAGAGTCAACCATGGAGGCTGAGATTTCTCATCTGCTTCCCCAGGATCCAGCATCTGAGAAGCTGGGGGGTCTGGCCAAGACAGCCTTGGAGGAGAACCTTCCAGGTGCCAGAGTTGAGGGGCAAGTGACCTGTGACCCATTGATGGTGACCAGGGAGAGGCTAGAAGGGACTGGGGGGTCTGACCAGGGAGCTCAGGCTCATTTGCAGCAAGGAAGAAGCAGGCAAGAGTCAGCACTGGGCCTTCCCTCCTCTGCAGCTGTTCAGGGGGTGCCAGCAGAAAGAGCTCCTGGCTTACCTGTGGCTCCTCAGAGCCACACAGAAGAGGCTTCTGTTGGAGGGGACAGCAGTCCTTCTGGAAAAGAGAACTTAAAAACACCGGCCAGCAATAGTCAGCCCAGAGGAGCCGGTACCGGGGCCCCTGTTCACACCGAGTGCTCGAGTAATCTGCAAGGATCCACCGGTGCCCTGGAGGGCTCTTCTCCTCACGGAAGTCTTTTGACTGTGCCTGAATCTAACAGTGAGCCGTGGATCCCTGCCACACCTGGGGGTGAAAGAAGCCCCAGAGCTGCTGTCAGTACTGCAGAAATGCAAAATGTGCTGGCCTACCAGGATACCCCCAAACCCCTGGCGGGAGAAGCGTTGGATACTCCTCTGGGGCCTAGCAAAATGGCGGGAGCTGCTGAGGCAGCAGAAGGTGACATCACACCAAGCACAGCTGAGACATGGGCATGTGTGTCTGGTGACCTCCTTGAAACAGGTACTGCAAGGATGCTTCCCGCTGTGGCAGGTGACTCAGCACTGCCTGGGAGCTGCCAGGACCCAGGATGTGCCAACAGGACTCAGACAATGGAAGGCACAGCCACCCTTCAAGGGGACAACCAGGCCAGACACCAGCAGGACCAGGAACAACTGGGCCCTCAGCTCCCTGCTCCTGTAGGGCATGGGAAGACGAGTGTCTCTTCACCTCCAGAGCCCGGTGGAAGCAAAGACGTGAAGCTGGACCTGTTAGCTCCAGAAGAACTCTACACTGGCAGGTACTTAGATGCAATGCCCCAATAGGTTCAGATCCAATACTATCCTGGCCCTGATGTCAGGGAATCTAACAGGAGGCTAGCTTCATCTCTGTCTCAAGGGTTAAGTGGCCCCGCTTACCCTCTCTGGATGTGCTGGGATTCTGAGAGGCAGGAGAGGGGAGGTCGGAGGCACGGGATCTATGTAGTTGACATGTCTTGTTCCTTTTCTTGTGTGCTTTAATTCTTCTAAAACCACTGGAAAAGCGTGAAGCGTTGGTTGGCTATGTGTGATTGGGCGATAGGCTTCGGGCAGTCATGTTCTCTGGAGTGCAGACGCGACTGCTTTCAAACGTGGAATTGTTTAGGTGAAGGGGCCTTGTGTGATTCAAAACAGCTCCCAGCCTATTGCTGCCTAAGGGTCTCTTCTCCCTGGGGATATTGGTATGGTGGCCACTTAGTGTTTACTGGGCAATGTGCTTTGGAAAATAGGATTTGGGGAAGAGACAGCACTCTCCAACTCTCTGATCCTAGCCATCAATTTCTTTCCTCATCTCAGAAAGAGCCCAGGGCCCGGCTCAGCCACCTTACCTTCAGTTCCTGAGACATGTGCTCCGCAAGCCTTTTCAGCAGAGGCCGGAGAGTCAGGAGGACCAGAAAGGTCAGTGACACATAGGCTTTTTTGAGTCTACGGCACCTTCCTCAGAAGCCTTGTTGATTTTACAAAGGACAGCAATGTTTGCCTATTTGAGAGTGTCTCAAGTAACCCATGCTAGCCTCAAATCCAGTCAGAAGTCAAGGACGTGTTTGAATTCCTAATCCTCTGCCTCCACTGCCTGAGTGCTGGGCTTGTAGACATACACTACCATGCCAGGCTGAGAGCAGTTGTTTGTGTGTGAGCTGTCATGTGTGAGAGGCAGCCAGAGCTGGTGCGACACACCTGTAGTCCCAACATTTAGGAAGCTGAGGCAGGAGAATCATGAGTAGGGTCTGAGCTTTGTTTAAGACGCTGCCTCAGGTGTGTGTGGGGAGATGGGGCAGATTCCATTTCTCTGCCATGTGCACTTTAGTAGTGGCCGGTGACACAGGGCAGCATTGTTGCCCAAAGGGGTGTTTGTTTCCGTGTCAAACAACTTCACTAAGCTACAATTCACACAGCATATAATTCACTCATTTAAAGTCTAGATACACATGCCCATACACACACACAACAGAGAGAGAGAAAGAGAGAGAGAGAGAGAGAGAGAGAGAGAGAGAGAGAGAGAGAGAGAGAGAGAGAG